AAAATGTTCAAGATGGAGACATAGATATTTGCAAAGTACATACGGATCTGAATGTCGCAGATCCGTTGACTAAACCTCTCTCACGAGCAAAACATGATCAACACCAGAACTCTATGGGTGTGCGATTCATCATAATGTAACTAGATTATTGACTCTAGTGCAAGTGGGAGACTGTTGGAAATATGCCCTAGAGGCAATAATAAAAGCGTTATTATTATATTTCCTTGTTCATGATAATTGTCTTTTATTCATGCTATAACTGTATTATCCGGAAATCGTAATACACGTGTGAATACATAGACCATAACATGTCCCTAGTGAGCCTCTAGTTGACTAGCTCGTTGGTCAACAGATAATCATGGTTTCCTGACTATGGACATTAGATGTCATTGACAACGGGATCACGTCATTAGGAGAATGACGTGATGGACAAGACCCAATCCTAAGCATAGCACAAGATCGTGTAGTTCGTTTTGCTAGAGCTTTTCCAATGTCAAGTATCTCTTCCTTAGACCATGAGATTGTGTAACTCCCGGATACCGTAAGAGTGCTTTGGGTGTACCAAACGTCACAACGTAACTGGGTGACTATAAAGGTGCACTACAGGTATCTCCAAAAGTGTCTGTTGGGTTGACACGGATCGAGACTGGGATTTGTCACTCCGGATTACGGAGAGGTATCACTGGGCCCACTCGGTAGTGCATCGTCATAATGAGCTCAAAGTGACCAAGTGTTTGGTCACGGGATCATGCATTACGGTACGAGTAAAGTGACTTGCCGGTGACGAGACTGAACGAGGTATTGGGATACCGACGATCGAGTCTCGGGCAAGTAACATACCGACTGACAAAGGGAATTGCATACGGGGTTGATTGAATCCTCGACATCGTGGTTCATCCAATGACATCATCGAGGAGCATGTGGGAGCCAACATGGGTATCCAGATCCCGCTGTTGGTTATTGCCCGAGAGCCGTCTCGGTCATGTCTACGTGTCTCCCGAACCCGTAGGGTCTACACACTTAAGGTTCGGTGACGCTAGGGTTATTAGGAAGACTTGTATGTGACTACCGAATGTTGTTCGGAGTCCCGGATGAGATCCCGGACGTCACGAGGAGTTCCGGAAGGGTCCGGAGGTAAATATTTATATATGGGAAGTTGTCAAACGGACACCGGAAAGTTTCGGGGTCATACCGGTATTGTACCGGGACCACCGGAGAGGTTCCGGGGGTCCACCGGGAGGGGCCACCCCTCCCGGGGGGCCACATGGGCTGCGTGGGGATAGCAGCCAGCCCCTGGTGGGCTGGGCGCCCCCCCCCCTTGGGCCCATGCGCCTAGGGTTGGGGGGAAACCCTAAGGGGGGCGCAACCCCCCTTGCTTGGGGGCAAGCCACCCCTCCTTGGCCGCCGCCCCCCCTCTAGATCCATCTAGAGGGGCCGGCCCCCCTTGCCCCTTCGTATTCCCACATATAGGGCATGGACAACACATAAAACCATTATGCTTGTTTGCCTCAGCCACTTCGAGAAAATCATGCACGCCCTTAATGTACTTGGAGGTGTGTCTGTTACCGTACATCCATTGCCGGTTCATCTGCGTGCATTATATATAATTAAGTGTGTCAAAAATTATTACACAACATCATGAATAGATAACTAAGTGACCAAATTAATAGAAGTTCATCATCACATTAAAACCAAAGTACATACATAGTTCTCATCTTCAAGCGAAAATCATTACAGAACAACATAAAGCTCTGCAGAGCATCTAAATTAATTAAACCATACATTGAAACTATGTAAAACATTTCAATGCGAAAACAAATGCGATCATAATCGCAACCAAGGTAACAACTGATCCAACGGCATAATGATGCCAAGCCTCGGTATGAATGGCATATTTTCTAATCTTTCTAATCTTCAAGCGCATTGCATCCATCTTGATCTTGTGATCATCGACGACATCCGTAACATGCAACTCCAATATCATCTTCTCCTCCTCAATTTTTCTTATTTTTTCCTTCAAGAAATTGTTTTCTTCTTCAACTAAATTTAACCTCTCGACAATAGGGTCGGTTGGAATTTTCGGTTCAACAACCTCCTAGATAAATAAAATCTATGTCACGTTGGTCGGCATAATTTTCATAAACAATAAATGAACCAATAGTTATGAAAAGATAATATATACCACATCCGAATCATAGACAGGACGAGGGCCGACGGGGGCGGATACCAAAACCATCGTACTATATAAGATGCAATAATAAAAGTAAGAAAATAATACAAGTATATATCTAAACATACAAGTAAGAATATTTTTCCTTTCAGAAAGAAGATAAGAACAAGAGGCTCACCACGGTGGTGCCAGCGATGAGATCGGCGCGGGTGATCGACGGCGGTGAAGACGGGTACCGGGCGTGACGGACCGCTAAACCTAGACAAATATTGAGAAAAATGGAGCTTCGAGGTCGAGCTTGGAGAAGAGAAAGCTTAAGTAGTGTGGCGCGGGCATTCCATCGAACACCTTGTGTGCATAGGAGGTGAGCTAGAGCACCACAAAGCCCTCTCCCCCTCGGCTGCCAGAAAAAACAAAGCAGTGTGCTCTACTCTTACGTGAGGGGGTATATATAGGCACCTCATTGGTCCCGGTTGGTGGCGTGAATCGGGACTAAAGGGCAGCCTTTGGTCCCGGTTCGTGGCACCAACCGGGACCAATGGTGGTGGGCCAGGAGCGAGGCCCATTGGTCCCGGTTTGTCCGACCAACCGGGACCAAAAGGTCCAGACGAACCGGGACCAATAGCCCACGTGGCCCGGCCGGCCCCCGGGGCCCACGAACCGGGTCCAATGCCACCATTGGTCCCGGTTCTGGATTGAACCGGGACTAATGGACTGACCCGGCCTGGACCAATGCCCCCTTTTCTACTAGTGCCTGCACTATGGCTGAAGGTGGAGAAGCTAGATAATTGGGCAATATTCATCAGAATCCCACAAGAGAAGTCAGGCATTGTCTTGCATGAACCCAGAGATATGGGGAGGGAGGAGCAACTGTGTATACTGCTATAACCATGACTCTAAACATTGGGTTGCACTTGAGTTGGGAAAGCCACTATAGGGAAATGGGCCCACCTCCAAATTTAATCCAAACATCTTCATATTCATGGGTCGTGATAGCAGGGTGCAACCTATGTGGGTTGTCCTTAGCATGCTCTCATTCTGTCGGTCATGCTGATGAGCTTTATGCATGGCTGCTAAGTCTTATTTGGAACATGTTCTTCTCTAAAGATTTCTAAGAATCTCTAATTTTGCCAGTTATTGGTCAATGAATTTGTAACTACGGCTCAAAACATTTTTAATTTGAGCATGATAACTTGAACTCAATTTTGTAGTTCAGTGTAACTACAAAGTATTTTTGGTTTGTGTGTAATTATAGGCTAATTTGTGTTTCTCTATAACTACAAACTGAACCACGAAGGTTCACATAAGCTCATAACTAATTATTACTCCCTGCATCCCAAATTACTCGTCGCTGAAATGGATGTATTTAGAACTAAAATACATCTAGATACATCCATACATGCGACAAGTAATTCGGAACGGAGGGAGTATTTTGTTAGTTAGCAACATTTGGAAGTTGGATAGAAGGGGTGATGTGCATTGAAACCTTTTGTGTTCTTTTCTCAATGCTAGATCCCAGTGTTATCATTAGTGAGGAATGCATAAACTTGATTCATCCCAGGCGTGCACTTATGGAGGCATTTCCATAGCAAGTGTGTGTCTTTGTTCTCTCCGACATTGTAAAGGATATGGGCTACCATTTGAGGAATAAAGTCTCTTTTTTGTCTTTCACATGCAATGGTACCATTTATCGTTCATTTGTTTTCATTCTATTGAATGGAATATATTTCTTTTAACAATTGCATTTCACATATTACTTAGATGTGGTAGTCCCCTGAACACTAGTGGCTTACAAATCTCTATCGGATAAGGTCTCACAATGTCCGGTTCAATCCAGATTGCATTTACTTGCATGCCGCAGTCTCATGAACACTAGTGGATTAGGTCTCGCAAAAGCTTTAGGAGGTATCAGAAATAAAATTGCATTTCACAAATCACTTACATGTTCATAGTCTCCTGAACACTAATGGCTTGCAGCTGAGAACAGCTTGCAGTGAAAAAAAAAACTCTGGGATCAACATCAGCACACAAATTTGAACAGGCTCCAACAGAAGGACAGCCTCGTTAAGATGTTCATGGAGATGCATCCCTATCACTGCTCATGGTAGAGTCGATGGCGTGCTGCCTCTCCAAAAACATAGTGTGTCCTTGGTGCATGCATGACTATGCCATACATCATGTGTTCTTCCACAAATTCATTTCCTGTACTGGTTAATGTTTTTGGATAATTTATAACCTATGTAAACTTCATAATGTTGGAACAATTCAACGGTATATAAAAACATTCGAATGAGGAACCTGGAACCAGCTGTATGTTGTTGACCACTGATCAGGATCAAAACTTGTGGATTTGGTACATTACATATATTTCCACACTGCCTTGATACATCAGCGTGTGTACAAATGCAACATGTTGCTCTCGACCAACAATTCTCATCTTCTAACTAAAAACCTAAAATTCTGTTGCATAAAAAGAGCCCTATCAGTACGCTAACCAAGCTCGAAGGTGTATTTTCCGCAGCAAAGGAGCAAGGGCTGTTTATAACTCTGCTTCCGCTTTTGAACCCAGTATACTCAGTTTGCACTAAGGTTGTAATGTGATTGTGACACTGAATATCAAGCACTTAACCAAAGATTTACGGCGCGGAAATCCAACCTTTGGAACCCAAGAACCAGTATCTTCTGCATTTCTTCTTTGTTGATTGTTCAAAACATCAAACTGCGCATTTCTTCTTTGTTGATTGTTCAAAACATCAAACTGCTCGGGACATCAATAATTCTTATATTGGCCACTACGCAAAACAGTTCGACTGGATATGTCTGAAATGGATTATGGATGTGAAGTGATTGAGAGACAATGTAGCCGATCATCTCTGCAGCCAACAAAGATGCGCCCACCCACCATCAAGGGTGACGAGAATATGTCCCCAGGAAGATCCATGGCTGCAAACTCTTGCACAGAGTAACCATCTTTCTCCTGCTCAGCATCAGCTCTAATCCCAAGGACACGGACCTTCCCAGAACTTGTGCAGATACAAGCAAATCTGCAAAAAGAAGAGCTATAACGTTTTCTTGACACCTATTTGCTACAAGACTTTGCTATCAATATGCCAAGTACCTCTCTGATGCTCCAGATGGTGTTGATGCTAACACTTCATCAACAAAAGCAGATGCAGTAATTGGGTCGCCGACGTCATATGACCAAAGAAGATCACCAGATGTCTGTGGTGAAATCATTAATGCTTAAGTACTTAATGTGAAGATAAGCCATGATCTCCTAGTAAACCTAAAATGCAATAAATAAAGTTCAATTGTTTAACACAAAAAGAACCTGAGAATTACCCGCAGCTGCTAAATTGACATCAGAAAATAAGTAAACACAACAGTGGGAGAGATTCTATGATCATTAACTGTATTTCTGGAATGACGTGTAAAAAATACAGCATGCTACTCTCTCAATAATGCCCCTAGAAAAGATGGTGTTGTCTCAAAAGAGACATTTGGACGTTCAGTAAGTAAGACTTACAATATCAAAGGAGTATAAGCTTCCATCACGGGAAGGTATCAGGACCTGCCATTGACATGTACGCAAAAGTTTGGTTCAGTTTACTTCAAACTGGGACCACATAAAGTTGTGAACTGTAGAATAATATGAACATAAAACTACATAAGACAGACGAGACTTTGATAAACAAAGACCATACCTGAGAAGGAAGGGCAGATGACACACATGCACTAGCAAAAATAGGACCACCAACAGTTGCCTGGGTTTTAAAGAAATTAGTTATGGCTCTGTGATAAACAATTAAATAATACTAACAAAATTGGCAGTATGGAATAATACTAAATAACAAAAAGATCAAACCAAATAAAATCTTGATACGACAAGACTTAAAAACAGGGGCGTCTAAAACATAAATTGGCATCCACAAACTACAATTGTTCTGAGTAAACCGCTCAATGTTAGTTAGTTCTGTAGGCTGGATGGTTAGCTTTAGTTTACCAGATGTCTGGCGTGTCTATCAGACAACTCTAAAAGAATAACTGTTCCTTTGTATATCATTCTGTTGCAGAACTGTAACTTTGTAAAAATAGCTTCACAAACAAAACAGGGAGAAGAGCTATTCCACCTTCCAGACAACAGTGCCATGTGAGTTCAATGCGATCACCAGACCGTTCACCAAGCAACAAACAACTACAAAATGAAAGTTAGTAATCAGTATAAATTGGCATCCTTAAGTGAAAAATACTGACTGTACATAGCAAATTCCCAGTACATTCATTATCGAACCCACACATTGACTGAGGTCAATACACATGTTATGTTTAATTGATTTTTATAATATTAAACTTGGCACCTTAAAGCATATGCCACATAGCTCGCCAAAAGTATGCTCGAGACATGCACGGTTGCACAATTTTCTTGGGGCCTCCCCAACAGTTTCACGTTTAAAAAAATGGTTTTGACTGATGCTCAGATGCTGCCGTAAAAGGGAGGAACTTACGGGATTCAGATTTTACTAGGAAACTTGAAAATCTTGGATGAAAACAAGTGCATCGCTAAAAAAATCAACATTTATGAAATACATATGAAAAAGTAGGCAAAAAAATTCAACATTTGTGAAATACATATGAAAAGGTAGGCATTAACTAAATGTTGAGAAGGTGAATTTTCAAAAATTAAATCTGAATGTTGACCAACTCCTAAAATCGACTGGCTCTTCCTACCTTTAACGTTGCATCCTCAAAACTCTTTTTAGTTTCAAGGAAATTTAATCATAAAATACGCATGGACATATTGCAAGACATGTGTGCTCATGCCTCAAGGCTAGCTTAGGAATTACCATTTCCACTTTGATGATCGATGGCAAGAGAACTGAAAATTGCTGCCCTGGCTTCATATTGCCAAACTATTCTGAATGATGGAACCTGCTACCACCAAAAGAAACCAGTGAAGACTCTAGATACTCACTCGTTGCTAATTATTTTACTTTCTATTACCAGCTTTACTGCAGACAATTCCCATGGAAACAATAGACAGAACGATAAAAAGAAAAGAAAAACATCAACATTTTCTCCTTTAAAGTTATCACGGGGAATATATCGTAAGTCACCTCAAGGGATATTGCAGTTACAAGGCCACTCGTACAAGCAACATAGATCCTGTCGTGTGCCTGCAAGGAGCAATCCAGATGACACAAGATCAATAGAGCCCTTGCACAGATTTAAGGCAGATGCATGCTGTGAATCAGTAAAAATACCATGTCCACAGCAGGAGAACCATAGATGCTTCCACCACAAGATACTTTGTAAGCGCAGCAACGATCTTTGTAATTTAGTGCATATAAATAATGATCATAAGAGCCACACCTGATAACCATACACAGCATATTGTTAACAAAAAAATTAACAGCAGTACAGATCATTGGTTCACTCATTCTAGTTTATTATCGCAATAACAAATGTGCTTTCATCTAAACAGAGAGAAAATATATATACAGAGAGAACTGTGACAAGTGGTGGTAGTGTACTATGATGAAGGAACAAAAGAAAGATTATGGAATGGTACCATATTAAATTCCTTGTCCTGTCAACAACTGGTTGCATTTTTACCTGAAAGAAGATTCTTAATTTGGTATATGAAATATCAACAACATTAGATGCTTCTCAATATGTTCCATCATGTACACTGTAACAAAATAATCATCGTGTAACTTAGTAACTGCATCATCAACTTCCATATGCTAGAAATACTACCATCATGGGTCTTTGCATAACTTATGCGTGACATTTGGCCCCTTTACTATTTCACTTGCAGCAGTTAAAGAACTATAGCCTACTCAACATGAACATACAGTCAGGAAGATTTTCTTAAAATCAAACATCCCAAAGCTGAGATCTATTATAGTTTTATTTACGTCTAGCACACAAAATAATCAATCCCTTGTCATTCTTAGTGTTCCTCAGAGATGGGATGAAAATACAGCTGCCATATTTCAAAGTGAGGTTTAAAAGATATTTCAAATAAAAATGCAGCAATTGTACCTCTCCATCTGTTTGAACTGTCCAAGATAGTTTACCAGTCAACATATCATGAAAGTAAATTTTCCCTTTATAACATCCGACCACAACCTGTCCAGCAGATTAATGATGAGCCAGATCGCAAAATGATTGGCAAGCTGCTATGTCAACTAGATCAAGAGTCAGGTCACCTCTGAAAAATCACCAGTAATAGCAGCAGAACACTCCACACGTCCTTCCAATTTGACACTCCACCTCACTGAACCACTGCATAATAAATTGGAAGTAAATTGTAAAAATATTCAGTATGCATGTGTCAGATCGGAACTGCTATCTCATTGAATCAAATTCAAATTAACCGAATCAATAAGAGCAGCATGAGAGCATACGTGGTGCACCAGACCGATGATTTAGCATTCAAAGTAATAAGAAAAAAAACAATGACTAAGAAATAGCAAGCAAAACTCACTTGCAACCATCAATGCAGAGAAATAAATGTGAATGGGACCCAATAAATATGTTTATCATCCCATTGTTCAGGACAAGCAAAGGTGAGGCATCAACACATGAATCCAAAGGAATGTTCCAAAGTTCCTGAAGATAACCTCTTTTGTTGTATGAAACATATGAGCAAACATCTTCAAGTTGCAGCTTCCCTTCATCGTCATGCATAAATCTGTTGCAACGCCCAATAGACCACTTCTTGTGTAAACAGAAGTTCAAGATCCACTGACTCCCCATAACACTGTTTCTGTCCTTCAAGCATGTATCCAAGTAGAAGTCGTTTACCTGGTATCTATCATCAGGAGAGAATGGATATTTGTTAAGCTGGCCATCTGTTTCATCTCCATAACTCCCTGCAATTTGATAATGTGCACGCTTTCCATTTATCCGTGCTTTGCCTCCATGATAACTATCATCCGCATTTGCAGCAAACGGGTCAAATAGTCCATGTATGCTTGTAGATACGTTCAGGCCCTTCTTAGGCTGAGGGTCATCAGTAGGAGAAACCAAATTACTATGCTCCACAACTGAAGCATGCAAAAGCTTAGAAGGGGTTGGATAGATATAAAGCAATCTCATGTCAATCTCCAACTTGTGGGCTGCATGGGCGGCAGAAATTGAGTTACCACCCAAAGTGAAAAAATCATCAAACTCAGAAACTTCATCAACAAGCAGGGCGTCACGAAATGCCTATTGTAGATAGAGACGGCGTCAGTACAACATGAACATGAACTATCCAAAAATAAATAAAAACCGAAAGAAGGAAAAAACATAAATGTCAGATTAAAAAGAAACAAGTTTTCAGGCAAAAAACCAAAAACAAGGGACAACACTTAGAATTAAGAACAAACCTTTTTAATAACTTGTAAATATGGATTAATTGGACCACTTTCAGTCTTAATTTGCTCAATTCCACATGGTTCCAATGCACAATCCAAACTTGATAACTTGACATAGTCAACCTTTCCTGAAGAAGTCAAAGGTAAGGACTTCACGTGGAGAAAGAAGCTTGGAATCATAGCTGGTGGAACCTTCTTGATGAGCCAACTTCTAATTGATGCCATGACATCTTGAGAAGAATTTACTTCTCTATGCTGCACACTATCTTTCACAATTTCATCCTTATTCTTAAACACCAGGTATGCCTTATAATCTGGAGACCCTTTACTTTGGAAAGTAACTGCAGCACCACTGACAGCAGGATGTTCCTTTAAGGTGGATTCTACCTCTTCTAGTGAAAAACGCTGCCCATAATTTTTTACAGAACGGTCCTTTCTCCCAAGGAAAACAAGTTCACCAGCCTTCAGCCGTCGAGCATAGTCACCCGTTTTGTAGTATGTTGAACTTTCACTGCCTTCAGTGTGATTACTCCTCAGAAACTCAGCTAAATAACCATTGAATAAACATGCTCCACTGACACAAATTTCACCTTCAGCTGCAATCCCAGCATGCTTCACAAGAAAAACTTCACAATTTGCAATAGGAAATCCAATCGGTACACTGGTTATTTCCTCACGCTCTAAAATTGCAGGCAGATCTTTGCAATCAAAGAATGTACAATCACCAGAAACCTGAAATACAAGTACAATTTTTGAATAAAGATACATAACAAACACCAATACTATAATTTGAACCAGTCCCTGTGTGGACTAAACTGAACAAAAGATAGCAAAAAAGAACCAACAGTAATTTTAAGCCCCCAGTGAGATGAAACAATGATGCAACTGAGCTCATAGATTGATGGATATTAGGGACAGAAGTATGCCATTTCTGTTCTTCTATTTAACATGTTGCTCAGATTGCAACACTATGTATCTCTTCTGTGTCGTAATTCCAGAGCAATTTAACATCTCAGGATGAAAAGGGGGCACAAATTCAGTTTTAAAGTTCATCTCCGGGCGTAAGAGGTACTCCCTCCGTCCGGAAAAGCTTGTCCCCAGCTTGTTCTTCAAATATGTATCTAGCATCAAGTTAGTACTAGATACATTCATTTGAGGGACAAGCTTTTTCGGATGGAGGGAGTAGTAGGGAACTCAAGCACTTAGTCCTTATTATGGCATACCAACTCATTACAATGATTCCCCTAAATTTACATTTAATAGATAGCAGTAAAACTGTGGTTAGTAAATGATGTAACAATGGCAGGAGCAAAGCACTCCTTGTCACGAGCCTAATTTTTGGGGAGGAAATGTATATCCATAGCAGGAGCAAAGAACTCCCTGTCTCAAGCCTATTCTGTATGAAATTTTTAGAAGGTTTTAAACTTATCTGCATAAAGATGGCAAAGATAACTCAATTATGTGAATGCAATGAAAATATTTAAACATCCTTTTTATTAATAGCCAAGTTGGGAAAATTCAGCCGGCTGGCCAAAGTAGTGTTGATTAGCACTGGCATTGTCTAGTGAAAACAATAGGTAAGAGTAAGAATGTATCAGAGAGAGAAAATAGACTTGATCTCCTCTGAAAAAAAAACAGAAAATATTTGGTGGGTAACTTTCTCACCTCTGTTGTTCCATACAAATTTATGATAGTAGTCTCTGGCAGAATTTCACGAACTCTCTTCCACAGCACTAAGGACAGAATCTCCCCACTAAATACCAAGATCTTAAGAGAGTTATATCCACATGAAATATTTTTCTCCAGGGTAGGTAGTATTATCTCCATCAGCGACGGAACTATAGTCACCCTTGATATACGATATGCCTATGACAACATGAGCAAATGCAAGCGCAATGAATGTTATACCAAAAAGACAAGGGAGTTTTATGTAATGATGGACCAAGAAAATCAGGAATAACATTCTAGCAAGGTTTTTGAGTCGATGAGTCGACGAGTCGCTCAGAGGCGGCGACTCTAGACTAGTCGTGACTAGTCTAGACTCATGGTCGACGAGTCGACATGCGACGAGTCGACGTGAGTTATGCAGTAGGCAGTAGGTACAATAAAATTACCATACAGAAGCACTATCCTGTATCATCTCTTTTCCTTTTGCTCTGATCTGCTCTAGACCTCTAGTGTTTCTGCTTGGTAGCTCAGGGGAGGAGCAGACCAGCAGCAGCAGCAACCATGGAAGGAGGGGAGGAGCAGACCACCAGCAGCAGCAACCAGAGGAGGGACGGAGCAGATATGCAGCAGCAACCAGGGGAGGAGGGGAGGAGCAGCAAGCCAGCAACCATGGGCGGCGGCGGTTGCCAAGGAAAGGGTTGGGTCAGGGGGGAGGGGGAACTGCTTCGATCTAGGTTTCCAGCAAGCAAGATTAGAGAAAAAAATTGAGTCGTTCGACCCAGAAAACACGACGAGTCGTGACTAGTCGTGACTAGTCGCTCGAGTCGCTCGACTCATACCATGAGTCGAGTCGCTAGGCTGAGTCGACCCTGCCAGTGTGACTCATCGACTAGTCGACGACTAGTCGCGACTAGTCGACGACTAGTCGCGACTAGTCGAGCGACTCGAAAACAGAGCATTCTAGGAGCCATTATTTTGTCAAGCATCTATTCAAGTCAAACAGGAAAGAGCCTCAGGCAATCCCTTGATTACAACGGCAACAAACTATAAATATTGTTTGCTATGATAATGGTATAGTACATTATCTCAGTGTTATCCAATTTTCTCAGTGTTAAATGGTAATTCCACAATATCAAACTGAATTCTTGAAACGGTAATTTTATTTCTGAGATTCATATGCAAATATTATTCAAGTAATAAGCTCTGGAGATTTTGATCAGACACTTAAAAACTAACTGGATAAGGAAACCAAATACATGGAAGTATTTTCACTAGAAGAATGACTAACGCATATATGAAGGTTAAGTAACCTTAATCAAGTTGGCCAATGATGCTGGATTGGCTCTCCAATTATTGGGGGGAATGACAAGTGTTGTGCTAGTCAACACAGCAGAAAGAAACTCCTGAAGATGGTCAACAAAGCTGACAGATGTCTTAAA